CATCTGCACCTACGAACAAACCCAAACCGTGTCCACCAGCACAAAGCTCTCATGGTGGCGCCTTCAAGAAGGACATGACGCCTTGAGCGCCATCACCGCCCACACCGCACTTAAGGTTTTCACCCGAGAAGCAATGATGTGGGAAGAGGTAGGGCAGACCCAAACGACATCTCCAAGAAGAATATCGGCACCCGCGGGCTTTGTTGTCGTCGTGTCCGGCCGGAACCGACCAGGAAATTATACCGATCTAGATCCCCACCTCCTGCTCCGCCTACAAACCGGTGACGGGCTAGCTAGCCAGCACAGCCAAGCCCGAATTTTTTGCTACCTTTCGATTTTTCTGTGAACGGATTTGGATTTAAATGTAAAGATAGTGCCAAACAAGTCATGCATGCCAAGTTCATCAGAATAAACTCGATGGCTTGGTGGTAGTGACAGGTCTCTACCAGTTGGTTGTCGCATGATCGACTCCCTGTTCAAAAGTCATTTGAATAGTTTTCGGAAAATAGAAATTACCGAGAGTTTACAAGTACCTATTCTTCGGCAACACGGGAAAAAAAATTCAGAAACGAGGAAAAAAAGTTGGTCATCATAAGCAACTATTACGAGGACATTAACGTGCTGCTCACCACTTCTGTATGTGTTGTAACAGAAGAGGCTTCTTTGGATTAAACATGTGTTTCTAGAGTATTTAACATGCTACTCTGGTCTTCCACGTGGCTTCTTTGGATCAGACATGTGTTTCTAGAATATTTAACAAAAAACTACCACATTCCAATCAGTCATAGCAAGAAACTATCACTCTACAAAAGTTAGCATAAACATAACGAAATTTCATAATCCTTGGCAAAATACTACAAATGCCGATTTGACTCGTTTAAATTCGTTTAAGACAGGGTTGGCCCACGCGTCAGGGCTGACAAGGCACCTTAAGTCAACGCCGTTTGTTTGATCGTTGTGTTGACTGTTATGACAGATGGGATCCACATGTAAGTAGCAATCCTCTTCTTTCGTATCCAAGCATTTTTCTTGAAAATTTTCGTATGCGTGGTCGACGCTGGCGCCAGTGATGGGCGAGCAAGCCACCTGGCCTCCGCCCGGGCTGGCTGGCTGGCCCAAGCGCGGCTCACGCACGAGCAAGCTGCTCGCGGGCTAGCTGCCTGGCCCGAGCGCTCCTCATGCGCGAGCAAAGCCGCCACACCGCAGTTCCAAGCTAGCACACAAGTAGCTGGATGCATCCAGCAGGTTGTGTGCTAGCTTGGCTAGCTGGCTGCCGCGAGCGCCGCTCCGAGCTTTTGACCTTGCCTTCAGCCGGCGGCAGTGGCTGCTTGCCATAGTCGAGGATGATGCAGTAGACAGGCCGGAGGAAGGAGGAGACTTGGTTAATTTTTTTAAGACTGACATGTGGGTCCTATATGTCATGACGTCTAACTTGCCGATCAAATAGACGGTGTTGAGTTAAGGTGCCACATCAATCCTGATGCGTGGGCCAACCCTATCATAAACAGGTTTAAATGTGTCTAATCTTCATTTGGTAATTTTTTTGCCATGGATTTAGAAAATTTCCGTATGTTCTTGCTAATTTTTGTAGAGTGGTGCTTTCTTACTAGGGCTGGGTTTTTTTTTTTTGTTAAATACTCTGTGTCTCTACTCTTCGCTACTACTAGTTCAGGAAAGTATCTCTGGAGTGAAGGCTTGGCTGGGGTGACCGTGCGCTGCATTGACATCATCACATCATCAGTCCATCTTACTGACTAAGACACACCCTTCTACATGTGCGACCTTGAAATGATAAATTACAAAGAACATGGATAATCACAATATTTAATGTATGGATAATCATAATGCGCTATTGCTCATCATTACAACATAGAAAAATAAAATTACATGAGCAATCACTTGCGGTATACCATAATGCCAACAAATTTGGTTTGAAAGGAACCGTCCCTTCTTCCATGACAGTCGCGTGGAGCTTCAAAAGATTATTGATCTCATTATAGACACCGCGAGTAAGTGGTGCTGGCTGGTGCAGTGGCTCTCAAGAGTAAAGACAATGTAGTGGGAACCCCAACGTGTTTTTCACTTTGATTAATTTTCCTCCCTTGGGTTACCCTCTACGTGTTGTACCTACTAATACATGAAAAATAGTGGTTTCTGGATCTTTTCAAAATCTGTTCTTGATCGTAGAAACATATCAAAGTAACAATCTTGATCAAGGGCCAAACATGTATCTCATAGTCACGCTGTCTAATTTGTTTTCTTGAGAATATGCAAATTGTGTACCATTGCTTTATATAAGAAGAGAGTATAGTAGAAAAGCTTGTACCCGAGTGAGAAGCACGGGACCAGAAAAGGAGGAAGAAAAAGAAAAGAAAACCAAGCAAGCATCCACTCCTACACAAAAACCCTACTGCTCACAAATAATCACGGTCATCAGCTCTTCTGCAGACACACTCTCTAATAACTATAAAGTAACTACAAGAGCAAGCTGCACGAAATGCCGGTGTATGCCACGAGTGCTGCAATGTAACATGTATCCTAGCTTTACTGTTGTGCTTACGGGGGAGGCTCGTCGGATGAGGAAAGGGAGGGACACATCCTGCAGGAAGCATGATTCGGTGGGTGGCTTGGATACTTGAAAGGGATTCCTTTCTCGTTTGACATTCCCAATGCCTCTTGAGAAGCACCGGACCACAAAAGGAGGAAGAAAGAGAAAATAAAACCAAGCAAGCATCCACTCCTACACAAAAACCCTACTGCTCACAAATAACCACGGTCCTCCGTTATACTGCAGGCATACTCTCTAATAACTATAAAGTAATTACAAGAGCAAACGAATGCCGCTGTAGGCCATGATTGTTGCAACGTAACATGTATCCTAGCTTTACTGTTGTGCTTACGGTGGAGGCGCGTCAGATGGGGAAAGGGAGGGACATATCCTGCAGGAAGCATAGTCGGGTGGGTGGCTTGGATACTTGAAAGGGATCCCTTTCTCGTTTTAACATTCCCAATGCCTCTTAAGCCTAAGTCTGAGGTTAAAACTGTTCTTTTAGGGATTCTACTCATGTTTTGAGCTAACATTGTATCAGTATAGGAACCTACAAAAAAATGGGAAGCCAGGCACCAAAAGAGTTTGATTATATAGTGTGTTGTTCCATACCAATTGTACTATAGTATGTATATTTATTAATGCACGAACATGTGCCTCCACAAGATCTAGACCGAGACTGTAAAGCGCTCCAGAGAGTTGTGGCATATTTATCATATTCATATGTAGTTCGTCAATAAAGTTTGGATCCAGGGCGATAGGTAGCCCGTTATCACTGGCGCACATCTGCCTCGTGATCCCTGCATACCGCCTAGTAGAGGAGCAAAAGTAACTCATAAATGGATTGGGAGGTTTCTGTGAGGCTGTATTTAAAAACTCATTGCATGGGACAAAAGAAGTGCTTATGATTATGGAAAGTGTTTTACTGAGCTCGTGTTCATGTGAGCTTGATTGAATAGTAAATAAAAAAATGAAAATAAATATGAAAAAGTGTCATTTTGCAATGTAACTTTGCAAGCAATGAAATTTTTTTATCAATGTTTGCTACAAAATGAATCATAAATTTTGAATTGCTTTTTTATTTATGTTACTGTTCACCCAAGCTCACATGAGCTCGAGCTCAGTTTAACCGCGTCCATATGAGTATGTAATATGAAATTATGAATGCCTACCAAGTATATTTTTTTTGGTGGCTGCCAGTAGTGGCCCAGTGTGCACACCATATAGCGATCTCGGGCATCAAGAAAAATGTTCGTGAATTTCAAAAATTGTTCGTCGATTCAAAAAAATGTTTGCGGGTTTCAAAAGTTATTCTCATATTTTGAAAAAGGTTCACCCATTAAAAGATGTTCATGAATTCAAAAAATTATAGATTTCAATTTTTTCCTGGATTTCAAATTTATTTTGAATTTTAAAACAAAAAGAAAAACACATAAAAAAGTAAAACCGATTCAGGGAAGGTTCTAGAACCGGTGGGGGAAAGGCAGTGTATTCCCTAATATGGCTAGCCCATATCTGAGCGAGCGAAACGGGGCGGGCGCATTTGGTCCCCATCCCCTAAACTACGCAGGAAATATGAGATGAGAATCTAAAATCGCTGTTGAGAGCTATGGATGGCTTCATTTTACTAAACTTTGTTCATATGGAAAGTCTTTTCCAACGACACGATGTTGACAGTACCCATGCTAGGACAATTTGACTTACTTATCGTCGACATTCCTTTCAGCGCCCACGCGGGCTTACATTCAGCGACAAAACGAAGCAATGGACCTCTCTGGCCAACTTAAAACAAAAGTGAAATAGACAGGAGAAGAGATACTCATTAAACGACTGATGTAGAGTGTGATTTTTCTTCTCTCCTTTCTTTGTCATCATTTGTAGTTGCCTAGTTGGGAGCTATGCCCGTGGCATCCCCAAACCGTTACGTCCACAGCTTATGCCAGGACCATCAGAGTGACAGATAAACTACAGGACAAGTCAAGTCCTCTTGTCTCACTTCATCACTTGTTTGTTACAGAAATATCAAACCATTGGCGACAACAGATATTTTGAGAACAACACAAACGAAAAGCCTGTCTTCATCTTTCTGTTCCACAAAGGGGGATTGTATACTAAACTCTATTTTGTCCAACTAATAGTCTTGAATTCAACATTCAGCTTTGCCGAAGAGTGAAAATTAGATTAAGCACGTTTGCGACATAGAAGGACTGAATTTGACGGGATATTACGCAAAAACAAGGACTTGGTAAGGGTACATAAATTCATGGGGTTCATCTTGGGAAGAATTGCTTCGCTGATTTTGGCATTGCACATGCATATGCTTAGTGGTACATAGGGATCATGAACGTGTCTACTATCTAGTATCTACAAAAAATGGCTAAGGAGGCGCCACTAATTAATTAATGGAGCCTACTGCACATGGTATGATAACTGATAAATGACTGGCATCTCATTATCCTTCCGTCATATGCAGCCATGCAGGTTGTTTCTGTGGCGAGGTTATCCTCAGCCGCTGCTTATCTTGCACAATCTGCGGTTTGTAGTGCTGCCTTTTGTAGCTACTATGGCATGCCTGATTGCTGGATGAGGCGCAGGACATCATCCCTGTAACTGCGTCCCCAAACGGCAGCAGAGTTTCTCAAGCTGGGAGCCCTTGAAAAAATTTCAATGCTATAAATCCAGCCTCTCACGATCTTGCATCAGCGGAAGCTTGTGGGAAGAATCTTGAAGGAATGTCTCTTATTCGCATGCCACTTCCCCAGTACGATGCAAGGGTCAAACCAAATATTGCCATGACAACAACAGAACATGCTGCAGGAACTGCCTGGCTGATTCCAAGAAATTGCGTAGCAAGAAGTCCGGCTAGGGTGGAGCTCTGCATTCCAGTACACACTGAAATAGTCCTACAAACAGGCTCTTCTTGCCTACACATAAGTGCAATAAGAAAATTAGCCAAACAGCATCAAGGAACTTCAGAAGCATAGTTTTATGCGAAAAAAAGATTGCTGGCTGTAACAGAAGCCATTAATGATGATGTGATACTAGTTCACTTTTCAAGACACAGGACGAAGGTACCAAATGCTGCAAATAACAGGCCATTTATCATGATGGTTACTAGATTGAATTAAGTTTCAGTTTTGGAAATTAGTGGTCATGACAAATGTGAATAGAAAAATACGCTTTTCTAATAGGTTAGTTTAATGGAATAATTCAGGTAAAATATACAATATGGAGCCAGACGACTTGCCACTGGAATATAAACATAATATGAAATATGATACGTCTAACACATTTCACCATTTTTTACAGCATGAATTTCACCATATTGTTTTCAAAAGGAACTACTTTACTGAAACTATGTGTGACTAACAAAAAATTTAAATAACAGAATTTAATTATTTAGTGAAATTGGTCAAGATTTCTCTAGAGGCAAAATTTCATTTCCTGTTAGAAGGTAAATATGATCGGCATATAGGACTTCTGCAGACGTAACAGAAAGTAGCATCAAAGAAAAGAGATGACTCAGTTCCATCAATATTGCACATAAGATTGAATCGTGCTTTAGCAAAATCATGGGCAAAAAATCAACTATGCAAGAGGAACATTACAAATGAATATAAATGTAATCACGGCATTTAATGATTACCTCAACTGAGGCAACTTGGAAACCCAGTAACCGACAACAAAAGCCGCAATGTGGAAAGTCACTATGGGGAGAAGTAACATGAATCCTTGTGATGAGAGGAGCATGGTCCTATTTATAGCAAGAGGGCTCCCAATACAGAGTGATGTGCACACCATAGCAACAAATGGCATCACTGGTTGTATGACGTTAACCACTGGTTTTGCATAGGTATTCAGAAGGAGACCTACTGTCACAGGCAGAAGAACCACCTGGAAAAAAAAATCAGAAATCAGAGTAAAATCAAAGAATGACCTTGTTAGTTAGCAAGAAACCACCTGGAACTGGAACGATTCCATTACCTGGAGAATCGATTTCGCCATTGCAATTCCATTAACCGGAACCACTGAACCAATCAACAAACCAGTGAGAATAGGTGTCACAATCACCGAAGATATGGTGGAGTAGGTCGTGAGCAGAATACTCAACGCAACATCTCCTTTCCCCAGGAAGCTGGCATAGCTCGAAAGCTGCGCGCCCGAGACGCAGCATGTAAGCATGAAACCAGCGAAGAAGGCGGATGGCATCCGGAACACCCTTGCGATCAGCACTCCCAGCAGCGGCTTGAGCATGTACTGGGCCATGTAACCAATCGACAGCGGCACTGGCCTGGATTTGGGAACACAACACACGACCAGACAAAAAATGGTTTCACATTTGCTCTATGATCTTGGGTGAAGCCGTAGAAGAGTGAAAAATATACCTCTTGAAGGCCAGAGCGAAGTCGTCGAAGGATAGTTTGATGCCAATGGAGAGCATGATGCCTCCGAGCGCAGGTGCGTACAGCTCCTTGGAGACCCTGCAAAAGGACTTACAATAATCAAATCAATCAATGACCATGTGCTGCTAGCTGTGCAAAATTCCAAGCCAAGAATCTTCTTGAAGCGTCCAGCGGACGCTTGGCTCACCAGGAGAAGGTGGCAGGGTTGCCGAGGGCGGCGACGGCCGTGGCGACGACGACGAGCGGGAGCAGCGCGGAGACCGCCTCCGAGGGGTCCCCGGCCCCCTCGGCGTCAGACGGGGAGGCATCGGCCTCGGCGCTGAAGGAGAGCAGCCAGGCGCTCCCCTCGCGGCGCGGCCAGCCGACGCGGCCGAGCGACGGCGCGGAGCAGAAGGTGGTGGGCGCCGCCGCCCGCCGCCGCCGGAGGAGCGACGCTGGGGAGGCGCACGGCTGCGGCGGGGAAGAGACGAAGCGCAGGGGGCGGTGCGAGTTGGCGTGGCCCAGTGCGTAGCGAGAGGGGAGGGAGGAGGAGGCGGCCGCCACGGCGACGGACATGGCGACGGCGAGAGGCGGTGCGAACCGGATTGGGTGGTCGAGGAGGAGGGGCGTGGGCACCTCGAGAAGATAGAATGGAGGAGGTGCCCGTGTATGTTTGGGCGCGCTCGACCGGACCAGGTGTGCGCTCCCCGGTTTGGCACCTGTCTTTCCAAGCTGGTAAATTTTATTTTATTTGAGGCTAGTCTTTCCAAGGTGGCTTTTCTTTTTCTTTTTTAGAGGTTTCCAAGGTGATGCCTAAGAGCATCTCCAGCCATTGGCCCCTCCAAAGAGGCTTGAAAATCGCCGCATGGGGGTGAGCCGGTGCTAAAATCGACGCTGGGGCGATTGGGTTCCCAGCCGCCGCCCCCAGGTGCCGATATCGGTCCATTTTTCCGCAAATGACCCCGCTCTTTGGCCCAGTTTCGGCGAAAAATCGGCCCGATATCGGCACAAATCGGTCCATATTTGCCATGGTTCGGCCCAAATTCAACAAAAATAATTTTTTTATCACATAGTTCATCACAGAAAATCAATAGAAATCAAATAGTTCAACAACAAATAATTCAATACAAATTACATAGTTCAACAAATAAAAACTCATATTTCATCACACGTCCAGCTAGGCGTTGCCCTTGAACCTTCATAGGTGCTCCACGAGATCATGCTGCAGTTGTTGATGCACCTGTGGGTCTCGGATCTCCTGACGCATATTGAGGAAGGCAGTCCAGGTTGCCGGTAGCTGGTGATCAACTTGCGCAAGAGGAACCTGCCTGTAATATGGTTCAGTGTCAAATAGTGGTCTTCCTGCTCGCTCTCAATGATCATGTTGTGCAAGATGACACAGCAAGTCATGATCTCCCACATTTGATCTTTCGACCAGGTCTGAGCAGGGTACCGGACAACAGCAAATCGAGATTGGAGCACACCAAATGCCCGCTCGACATCCTTCCTGCAAGCCTCATGAACCTTCGCAAAGTGGGAGTTCTTGCCTCCTGACACAGAGTTTGAGATAGTCTTCACAAATGTAGACCACCACGGATAGATGTCATCATCTAGGTAGTACCCCTTGCTGTAGTGCCGCCCATTGACCTCGAAGTTCACTGGAGGAGAATGACCTTCAACAAGCTTGGCAAAGACGGGGGAGCACTGTAGCACGTTGATGTCATTGTGAGTTCCTGGAATACCAAAGAAGGAGTGCCAAATCCAGAGGTCGTGTGTGGCCACTGCCTCAAGTACCACTGCAACCGCCTTTGGCGCCTTTGTACATCCCCTGCCAAGAAAATGGACAGTTCTTCCATTTCTAATGCATGCAGTCGATGCTTCCAAGCATCCCAGGAAATCCTCTTGCTACATTCTGTGCTAGGATCCGAGCAGTGTCTTCAGCATTGGGTGATCACAAGTATTGCTGTCCAAACACTGCCACCATTGCCCTGTAGAACTTGTACAAACACTCAATGGTCGTGGACTCGGCCATGCGCCCATAGTCATCGAGTGAATCACTGGAAGCTCTGTATGCAAGCATCCTCATAGCTGTCATGCACTTCTGGATTGAGGTGAATCCAAGTGTGCCGGTGCAATCCTTCTTGCACTTGATGTAGCTGCCGAACTCCCGGATGGATATCACAATCCTGAGGAAAAGCTTTCGGCTCATCCAATACCAGTGCCAAAAAACTTTGTCGCCATGCAATGGAGCGTCGGCGAAGTAGTCGGAGTAGAACATGAAATAGCCTTCTAGACGATGCCGGTTCTTTGCCTTTTAGCCGCCCCGGCGCCGAGCCACCTCGCCACGGCTTTTCACTGCTTGCTAGCAGGCCGGCGAGGGCGGCGAGGACCATGAGATGCTTCTCCTCGTGCACGTCGGCATCGGCTTCCTCCTCCAGCAACGCTGTGAATGCCTCCTCGTCGTCCGAGTACATCGCCGAGCAGGCAAACCACCGAACACTTGGCGGGCGTGGTGGGCGCACAGCCGCCGGTATACCGCCCTGCGTGGTCGGAGCACCAAAAAACTCGCCCGGAAGATGGTGGAGAGGTTGCCGCGGCGAAACCTTCTATCTTTTTCGCGCAGGGAATGGCATATCTAGCGGTGCTGGGCGGCGGGCGGCGCCGGGATTGGAAGGGTGGTGGCCGAGCGCTCGCGCGTGGGGGGCGAATCTGGACGATTACCTTGACTTTTCGCCTGACAGTGTGGCCCATGTGTGTTTTTTTCCTTTCGCCGGAGCCCCCGGGTGCCCCCAGCGTGCTGGGTTCGGCCCGGGGTCGCCAGGCTAAAAAAGGGCCAAGCCGGCGGATTTCGACATCTTGGGGCGCGACTGGGGGTTTTTTGGGTGTCGGCGCGAAAAAAGTCGCCCTGGGGGCCTGTTGGGGGCACGGCTAGAGATGCTCTAAACCTGATCATACCTCGGGTTTCAGGCCGGGCTTCACAAATCCCAAAGTGAAATTCCTAGGCATGAGCCCGTACCGAAGCATGAATATGTGTTTCCTCATGCCTGACCTTGGCTTGAATGGAAGCCCGAAAGCCTGACCTGAATGATGTTTTTCTATTAGTGCATGTGTAAGACTGTTTTGAAGCCTGAAAGCCATACCAAGAAGTTGAAATAGGGAAACCCGAACTTGGCCCAAATATTCGTTAGGGCTGCAAAACGAAGCCAGGGCCTCGCGAGGTCCTCGTTTTTCTAGTCGGGCAACCCATGATCAGGTTTAGTGTTGCGGATGTTGGTCTGATAAGAGCACCTCCAAAGTTCAAAGTGGGTCACCAAAACGCCTGCAATCTTTTGGACTGAAATGGATCCTTTAGACACTTTGAGCCATCCAATGTGGATCACCAAATTGGATGGTCTGGACTCTTGAAATCCCATAGCCCGGCCCAAAACTAGGGGAGATCTAGGGAGTTCGGACGTCCCTATGTCATAGTTCGACACCCATGTCCCACCTAAAACCCCCAGCATGCGCGTCGTCACAGTCCTGCCATTTCTCACGCGAAAGCTCGCCGTCTCCGCCTCAGTTACCGCCGCCACCACCAGTTCCATCGTGTGTGCCACCATGATGGAATTGTCGCAACCCTTACAAGGTTCATCGTCATGCCATACCTAGAGCCCGTCCTTCATGTGTTGGTGCCAGTGAAGAAGAAGGCGCTAGCGGACACTCAAGCCAGAGATCCTCATCAACAGCGGCCCGTCGTGTCCCTGCCGCCTAGGCAATAGCCACCCTACTTCGTTGCTCATCGATACGGTCTAGGTGGCACGCAACAATCACCAACTGCCGCCGCCTCCTTCACCTCCGGCAAGCCTCCACCATACACCGTCGACCTCAACAACGGCTATATGTTCATTGAGTTGTCCACACTCATCTGATTGCAGTTTCAGTCCGAGGAGCCCCCATTAGGCAGTAGCCAGTCATTGTTTGGTTGATTGCCTCCCCGAAACTCGACGAGGGTCACTAAAGAGGAGATTATGAACACAATCTATAATGGCGGCGAGCACGAGGACGGACAAGTCGATGACCACTACTCGCCTTAAGTGGAGCAAGACACGACCATGATGGACACCCAACAGCCTATTGTGCCTGATGTGGCCGTAAAGTAGAGGGGTTTGTCATACTCGAACAAGGACTATGAATTGTTGTGTGCAACTTGGTTGGGCACTAGTGTGATTTGGCAAAGTGTGCATGATTTTTTCATGAGCACTGTTGGGGATATAACTATTAGGTATGACCTGTCGTGGTTCTAAGTCTGACAGTAGAATGGGGGGTAGGTATGGAGAGGCAAGATCCTAGCTATGGAGCAGTTGTGAAGACACTGGATGTACGAGTTCAGGCCCTTCTCGGAGGAAGTAATAGCCCTACGTCTCGGGGCCCGGAGGCGGTCGACTGGATTATGTGTGTATGGATTACAGGGGCGCGAACCCTTTACACTGAGGAGGGGGGTGGCTTATATAGTGTCTGCCAGATCCCTCCGGCCCTCAGTTATGCAGGGTTTAAAGTACATTAAGACTAGGCGTTACTGGTAACGCCTTACATAAAGTGTCCTAAATGCCATAAAGACTACTTAATTATAGACCGTTTGGATGCAGAGTGGTTCTTGATCTCCTGGTGGTCGAGTGAGTCTTCATGGTCGAGTCCTTCGAGTCCGTCGAGTGAAGTCTCTCTTGGTCGACTGGAAGGCAGTTTCTTCTGAGGGTGTCCTTGGGAAGGGTACTTAAGAAAGGTCTGTGACCCTACCCTAGGTGCATGACTTCATCATTAGCCCCCGAATGGATCGAGGTTTGAGTGAGGAAGGAGTTGATAATATTTCCGACCTACTTTTGTGTTCTGAACATGTCTCATCTTGGACCAATAACCTTTTGTTGATGACAGCAACTTTTATCTCAGTCGCCTTGATCCATTCCTTTCTTATGTCGAGTGAACTTTTGCACTTAATAAACTTCCGAGCGACGAATCGCAGGAAATCCATCGTCTTGCAGATTGATCTGCTGTTAGCGGATTTTGTGGGATACGAATTTTGGGA